TACTCTGGACTGGTGGATTCCATACATACGGTATGCTGGGTGGCTAAATCGACCCAAGTGTGATTAAATTCAAGGCATACGGCGTGCATTCGTAGCTCAATTGGTAGAGCATTGGCTGTACTAAAGCCTCCCCTGCTGATGTGAGTTTGAATCCCACCGAGGCCACGAAGTATTCACCGTTGGGGGTAGCATTCCGCCTTCTACCCTTGAGCCCAGGGCCTACAAAGAAGCAGCCTCCCAACATCAAGTCACACCAAAATAACACTATACACATATCAACTGCTATTTCGGTCTCTTATCACACTTTGAGGGCTAGTGGGATCCAGAAAAGAGATACCCCCACCCAATGTAAACAATAAATGCGGCTGACTTGCTCAGGTACCCATTTGCCCCAAATTCACTCAATCAAACAGTTATTCATCTGTTCTTAGCTCGCAGTCTCCCGCTTTTGTTGCCTTACCAAGAACATAATTTTCGGGGATCAATCACTACCACTAGTGCTTCGATTCAGTACCAGAAATCGGCCGCCAACATTGGAAGTAGGAACACCGCTCTGTTAAGTGATAAGAAATCTGAAAAACGCATTTGGCAGCATTGGTTAATTCCTTATATACAAACAGGTAATTTCTGTTTCTATTTGTCGTATGTTTAATTACTTGGACTGCAGATATCTCCTTATATAATAAAAGACATGGAAAATGTAACTGGGGCTAGCATGTATGCTGATGATGGCCTAGTTAAGGGGTCATCTTACATCGGTCCGGCTCCTTGAACTCTCTCTGGGCAGTCGGAAAGTGAGGCTAACCGGTGGAGTCTGGTGACGTTCGTCAATGCGCATAAACGTGGAGGAATGGTGCCTTGCGGTTACAGGAGGCTCTGACGTCTCCCTGCGAAACTGTGGTGAGAACACACGGGAGGAGGAGACTGAAGTCGGTGTTCGGGGAGACTGAACACGAGGTGACATTCGAGGTAGGCTCCTGGGCAGAGTGGTTACCGGTGAAACGAATAGCGGTCTAAACTGCGGTCCTGGCAGGTGGACTGTGGCAGAGCATGTGACGCGTCCGTGCACGTTCTCCGCCGAGACATCATATGGTCCTAAAACCGTACAAAATACATACACACAATACGTGCTACTTATATTTGAAAGTAGCAATGTTTGTCTGTGGCATTAGGTCGGTGAAACACTCACCAGCGGTCTGTGGACCCGGTTGAAGGATGGTCAGTGCGTGGACGCAGGGCG